CTGTTTGAGTAGAATTATATTGTATAGAGTGTGCGTAACTATATGGAAATGATTTCATAAGCTCCTGAAGCCACTGTCCTGACTTCGTGACTCTAAATGACTAAGTAGACGAAGGTATCAAAGAGACAATGTTGTTTGGGATACAATCTTGAGGATTTAATTCATTAAATCGAGTCATATTAGTATAACCTATTAGTTTCTTTCCATTACCACTCCCACATGAACGGAGAGAGAACTATCCAGGCTATATTGAGATTATAAACCCCTCCTTTAAATTGAATTTCTATTCTCAAAGATGCCGGAAATTCAGAGCAAAGAATTAAATATCTAAGAGAAATTGTGATTACAAAAGTGTATTTGAGCAGTTTTAGTCACAGTCCGAGCACATAAGGAAATAATATACGAGACTTGGAGGTTACGTGAGGAATTCAATGAACTTGGTACCTCATGTACTTGGTATAATAATAATAACCAATATTTATTGAAGGTTTATCTTGTGCCAAATACTGGTTCTAAGTGTTTTCCATGTATTAACTAACAACAATCTCATATGGTAGGCAGTATTGTCATTTTACAGCTGAGGAAACTGAGGCATAAAGAGACACAGTAACGTTTCCAAGGCATATTGGAAAGGTCAAATATGGTTGGTAAGGTCAAACCTAGTTAGTCCAACTCGAGGGCCCAGGCTCTTAGCTGCTACTGTATTCTACAAACTTCTATCAAAGAGCATCTAAAGGAGGCTCAAAAGACTATCAGAGAACCCTGCCTCAGGATGCACCCAGGAGTTCATCTTCTCTTCTCTGGGCCTTTATGACATGAAAATAAATGGCAATATAGCATAACAAGGGGGATCCTGCGCCCTACTCTGCCCAGAACAGCCGCTGTGTGCTGCTGTCCCAATGCCCACCAGCATCTCTTTTCACCCACAGAGTTCCAGTTTGGATAATAAGTTACATATTCACATAAGTCCAGTGGCTAAGAAGTTATGTTCTGAAGTTTGCTGGGCCTACAGTCAAAACCCAGCTTAGCCACTCACTAGCTGTGGAGTTGAGGCCAATTACTTTGCCTCAAAAAGCCTCAATTTTCTCATCTACTAAATGGAAATAATAATAGTCCCTACCTCTCATTGTTATGAGAACTCTAGGAGCCAACACACATGAATCAATTTGTGTAATCCTTAGCCATTTGTAGGCACCGAATAAAAATTCATTTTTATCAACATTAGATTAAATGTTTGAGAGGGTTTCTTACTTTGGCATAATTGTGGTGGACTGCTTTGTAAACCTGAAACATCAAAACATACCTGTGAATCTGGAGCACCTAGACAAGAACCACGATCTTTAAGGAATGTCCGATTTTTCTAAGTAAATCACTGGTACTTCAAGAAGCATCCATTCTAAAATGAAATTACAATGCTAAAGCCATTCAAAATGCAGTTTGGGTCTCAGCCACTCCCAGAGGTTTTAATCCATTCCATTCTAGGCTCCCTGGGAACCTCACTGAAATGCTAAATTTCATGGTAACATGGAGAAAGTAAATATCCTTTGAGCTTATAATCTCTTTGGGGTATGTTTTAGCCTCTTGGGCCAGTCTAGATTCAAAGTTGTAAATTCTGGCATCATTCTGCATTCAAACACAAGCCACTGGTTCACTGTACTTTGTATTCAAACCCTGGAATAGCTTTAATATTCAGAGAATATCCTTTATAGGGCATGGGCATGATCACAGACCAACCCTTTTGTTGGCAATTGCAGTAACTGGCTACATGTGTTAGAACCTGCCAAAATGTTTGTCACCCAAGAAAAAAGACTCTTGAAAGACAGGCTCAATGGACCATCGTGATGGGCTTGATAAAACCACACAGCTAGTTAGTATACATACTGAACAAATCATCTATTTTTGTCTCATTCTTTTTATTTGTTAAATAAAGGAGTTAAATCCACTGGGGGTGGGGAAGTAAGGGGTTGAACCTAACATGGTCTGGCTCTGTGCCTCTTAAGAAGATTCCATCTGCTCCAGAAAAATAACCTGCTTCCCCATTACTTTTAAAAACTCCTGCTTCCTCCCATAGTAATCTATTTAATAGTATGCCTGACAGCAAGTTCTTTGCCTCCAGCCTAGCTTCCTCTCCTCATCACGTAAACTGCCATTGGCTTTAATTAGATTTAATAAGCCACTGGGAAGTGCAGCAGAGGGAAATGGAGAGCAAAGATTATACAGTATGGGCTTACTCTTGCATGTCCAATACAGCATTTCCCTGGAACTCTCATATCCTCCCAGGCTGGGAAAATACAGAATGCCAAGCGCATGGAAAGAAAGGCTGCTGCTGCTGCTGCTGTCCAAATGTGAAACGTGGGTGGAGAAAAATCATTTAGAAAAAGAGAAAATGTACCCGAATCCCCAACAGCTGCAAATAATGAAGCACATGAATCTGTTACCTTGGATGAACTCTGCTTTCCTGCTCACAGACGGCAGGGTCCTGTTGAGCCCCAGGATCCTGTCTAGGTGAAAGGCAAACACCTCACTCATGTCCAAGGGCTGCTTGAGAAGCCCACAGGGGCTAGGGCCGCAGCGGGTCACAGCGCCAGGTGCACCCCCCTCCAGCACCAGCAAGCGGGCACCGCTCTTGGAGGACACGGGCCGGAGCCCTGCCACTGTGCTGTCCGCCAAGAGTCGCATTCTTCGGATGTCATCTTTGCTCAGCCAGGAGGGGGCGCTCTCGCTGTAGATCCTAATGTTGCTCTCCCTGGCCTTGGGCTGCAGGAAGTCTGGACCCCCCGCTCGCACTCCTGGACCCCGCACCAACCTCCAGGGTGGCTCTCCAATCTTGGCCAGGTTTCCTCCCTGAGCATCCCTAAGTGCTCCAGTATCAGCTTCCTGAGGCTGAAGGGATGGTCCGACCAAAGCTTCCAGCCCTGGGGCAGCCGATGCCACTGCATGCTTTTTCCTGCGCTTGGGCTTCACGGTGCCGCGAATATTGGCAGGCTTGCTGCGCTTGGAGCGTAGGGTAATGTACACCACATTGGGCTGCAGGGTGGTCCCATTGCCCTGGGACTCAGGGGGGGCCAGGGTACCATCCAGGGGTATCTCAGGGAAGGGTGCCTCGGTGGCGTGGCGACTGCGATGTGGCCCCTTCTCGGCTGCCTGTCCATGCTGGAGAGAGGCCCTCCCCACCTGGCTCACCAGGAAGCCCAGGTAGATGGCGCAGGCAGTGCCCAGCAGAAGGTTTCTCCGGGTCCTTGGACGCCGGCTGCTCCAGAGTTTACGCACCCGTGGAAGGCACAGGGAGCAGATGAACCAGTTTATGAGCTGCCCCGGCTTGTCTGGACAGGTCATTTCTCTGCTGCATCCACATGTTGAAAGGAGTTTAAAGTCTGCAGTTGGCTCCTGCTAATGTGATGCATGGTTTCCTGACTTCAGCTGTCGCGTCCGCTTCGGGATCTAAGTGGTCTCCAGTGGGTAGAAGTGGAAGGAAAGGATTGGTGATGAAGCTGAGAATGTTTCTGACACAACAAACCTTTTAAACTATCAGCCTCCCCAAGGAGAAATGCGGCTTGCTTCTGGGAATGAATGGGTACAGAGTTAACTGAGTCACAATCTCAAACATTTCAGTTCCTCTACAAAGTACAGAAAAAAGTAATCATTTCCTTTCATAAATATCACCACTAAATGTTTTTAAAAATAAAATTTAAAAACATGGAAACAAGATAGATGTATAGATTTGATAATCGCTTTAAAGTGGTGAAAACAAGCTACAAAAATCCAAGAGTATTTTCTAACTTGTACCTAAAGTCTTTAAGCTGATTCTGAAGCAAAAGCTTTAAAATGTGACAAGCCTAGGCTTTTCCTTTTTGAAATTCAGAAATAACTTAAGACAAGTAATAGATGGTTTTTTAAAACCCTATAACTATACCATATTTATTTTTAAAGTCCTGAATTAACTAAGTACAAGCACCAAGTATTAACAATAAAATTTAGAAACATATTCTCTTAATCTAATGGCACAATTTTTTCTTTATTAATACGTTCCATTAGCTTACATTGTTAGCATAATACAAAGCCATAAATGTCCATATATCTTGGAAGCAGTTACATTTATTCTATTTCTCTCTCTTTCTGTGTTACACACACATACACACACACACAAACAACACAACACAAATCTGACTGCTTTTTATTTCTTTTCTTTCCACTGAAGTCAGCTGAAAGAAAATAAAAGCATCTCTAGTCTGTTTTTTCACTATTAAAAAGAAAAAGAAGAAACTCATAAGCAACCTTACTTACACAGCTGGTCCCATGCTTGGCTCCAAGAAGAATGTAATCCCTGACTCTAATGCAAAGAACTTTTAAAGGCTGAGGCATGTAAGTAGAACATATTTCATGGTCAAGAGTGTTCCACATTTCAAACATTTCACTTCAGCTTTAAAAGCTCCCTTGAAAACTGCTGATTGCAAAGCAACACTTGTAAACAGATCGCTGCATGGTTTGAAGAGGTATAAGGCTTTTGAAAACAATAGTTAACAAAATAAACTTTAGTTTTAAATTCTGAAAAAAGAAATGCCGTAGAGAATCAGTTTTCATTCAAATAACTTTCCCCTTATTCTTAACCCCTGGGAGCCCTCTAGCGTCCTGTTTGCAAACAGACTCAGAAATGTCAGTCTCATGAAGTTCAAAAGATCGGGAGTGTTTGCTTAGCTTGGTGGAGCAGCCTTAGCAAAGTAAGTAACTTGTAAAATGAGGAATGCCATAACCCCTCGAGTATCCCAGATAACTTGGGGTTAGGGCACAAGTGATCCCAGGAACTACTCACCTTACCATCTTGGCCGTTTACAGAGTAACATTTATCTTCCACCAGTTCCGGGAAGAGAAGGCCTAGAAGTTTAGGGAAAAAAAAAAAAAAAAAAAGGTAAGAAAGAGTTAATATAAATGAGGGGAAAAAATAGAACAGTGAGATAACAGTGCACATAGATAAGGAAAGACATTTATGGTGTGCAGTTGCACGGTGCCACAGTTCACAAAAAGAAGTCGTGGATTCTCTCTGATTGGAGGCTTTTTCAAAAAACAGGTTAGGGATCGGCCTGGGTGGTTTGCATGTCCTAGCAACAAAAGCAGGGGCTGATGACCTTGGGGGTCTCAATTAGACTATGGTAAATCGAATCAAAAAGCAAGAAGACAGAAAGGGGACAGGGATTTTTCCTCCCCACAGAAAAAGAAGGTTGTGATACTGGTGAGTGGGTAAAAGATTAGCATATGGTGTATAATCCTAAAAATATTATATTTTACAATGCAAAAAAGAGCAAGGAGTTGGAATATATATGGAGGGAAAGAATAAAATTCCGAGTGGTAACTTGACAAAAATTATAATATGGCTGTTATTTCAGCACCCCAAAATCAGTCCTTTTTTCCTCTTTAAAAGTCCTGCCACATGGAGGAACGAGAAGGAGCAATCCCAATATTGACAGTAGCCTAAAGTACCTGCGTATTTTGGCTAAACTTTGTGAGAATTAGGGCATCAAAGCAATTTTATTTGTGCTCAAAAACTCTTCAAGCACACATTTCCATACACACAGAATTATTTTCTAGATAGGAAATGTAAACTTTCTGCAAGGAAACTATACCAAAGCTGCATTTTATAACCATCTTATTATTTTCACAGTCAGAGGAATAACTGACCTGGCTCTAAAAAAATTGAAAGTAAGCCTTTGGCGGAGGCCAGTTACAATAAGCAGACATCTCCTCTAGCTGTTTTTAGAGCTATTTTTTTCATGGAGAAATGCCTAGGAGGTAGGTAGAGTTGTGTGAGTTCGTAAATTTGGTTGACCTACCTTCCCGCCCCCACTCCAAAAATGTCTCCTAGAAAAAGAACAATACACTGTCTCCTGCTATAGCCACAATAGGGATTAGTGGAGGCTACACTATCTGCTCTGAACTGTGATATTCAGAGAACGGGCTGCAAAGGGAGAAAGCCTGACTTTAAGTTCTCCTCATTTACCTCTTACATGTGGTCCCCCTGTGGCAAGTAATCTTACCTCTCTAAGCCTCAATTTCCCCCCTATGTAAGAGAAGGAAAATAACAGCACTTACTCCATCAGTTTCTCGTGATGATTAAATGAGATAGCGGCCTTGGAATGATCGTTAGAAATATTCAGCAATGTGTTTGTTTTTCTCCCCCATGATGCCTCATTAAACTGCTTGGAGGCCCCTCTCCTCAGCCCAGGCCTTGGCAGATAGTCACCGTTGCACCACAGCAAAGCTCTCATGGTAGAACTGAGGATAAGCACACTGAATTATTTGCAGCCAAGATACTGATATAACCAATACAGTGGATAAGCAGGGCTTGTCAGACATAATCAGAAAACAATTTTAGTGATTCCCCCCACTGCCCACCGAAACCTGTCCTGTGGCCTGATGCCTGTTTGCCACATTTTTAAATGGAAACTCAGGCAGGCCCCATAACTTTTCTAGTCACACTTAAATTTTTTAAAAAGTTCTCCAGCTGTTAGCCATAGACATACAGACATGTAATATACATAAACTAATTAACATGTTTGATTCTGTATCACAGTCAATTTTTAAAATTTCTTTTACATTTTCAGAATTTCTCCAGAAGACAGTAGTCCCTCAAAAAGCATAACCAAAACCTACTGAAAAGAGACAGAGGGGATGCATCTTAGATTACTTTTTGTTCCTACCTAGAGCTCTTATTCCTTAACCACTCACCCCACTTCGAGTTTGGCTCTGGTTATTCCAATGTAGTAGAAAAAGAGAAGCAATAATGGCAGAAATGGCCTTCCTACTCCATTGATATTGCTGTGAACTAGCTTATAAGCTCTCCAGGTTTGGTAGGTGTGTAAAGCTGACTCTGCGATCAGCATCTTGCAGTCGCTTCAAAGACACCACTATCAAAGCATCTCTCTGGCTGCCTGTTGATAGCCCCTCAGTCCCCTGAAACGAACTTGGTAGCCCCCTGTTCTGTTGAGATCACCTCATCTCTCCAGGCTGTTCTCTGAGATAGCATTTAGGTAGACCCGGAGGCTGGTTTTCTCACTTGGGCCTCTGTGTACACAAGTGATCCAATGGACGTGGTCACCACCATTTGCTCCAAAAACCACAGACTTCCCAATGCAGCAGCTCACCTCCCTTAGAACAGCAGATCCACATCTCATTTTGGAATGTGGAAGCAATTCCCATCAATTGCTTATGGTCTCTATTAAAACTGAAAGGAAAGACATTTTCTGCCATCAGGTAGCGTGGAATACAGAGAAGTTTAATTTCGTTTTAGATAAATAAAGCAAAATTTCTTGAACAAGTGTTAGTTTGAAAATTTGTTGCCACAATACAACATTCATGTATAACTTACAATATAATCTGTGAGTGCGCATATAGAACTCAAAGCATTCATTATTAATAATATTATTAGATCAGAGAAATTAATAATCCTCATGTCTAAAGTGTTTTCTCTTCTTAAAAAAATGAGGGAAATTAAGTGAAAGAGTAGACAGTAAGACAATGATAGGGCCCACTAGAATTACCTAGAGACCTTTTCACATCTTTATGGAGGGGCAAGGATGGTGATGGAGAAACAACATGAGCAGAGACAGGATTGTGGGAATGTTCTAGTTCTTCATTTAGATGGGATTTACAGAAGTATGTTTATTTTGAGGTAACACATTGACTATACATTTGTGATTTCTGTACTTTTCCATATTTATATATAGCTTACCCTTCAATCAAATTGGAAAAGGTGGTAAGTGAGTAGCTGTTTATTTTATATTCTTTATACCTTGTATATATGTTATCAATCTATATAGGAGGAGAGTAGGACTAATCATTTATTTACAATAAAAAATGCATGTTACTTCAGTCATTTAAAAATTAAGTTTAAATATTAAAGAACAGTAAAATCCCTGAAGATTTTTAAAATATATGAGTGTCTAGGCCCCATCCATCTTCCCAGAGAGTCTATATGATCTGAAGTAGGGCCCAGGAATCCTACTTAAAATGTGCAGAGTTATAATTCACTGTCCTATGAGTTAAATACTTAGTTCTAGAAGCAAATTAACACCTTTTCACAGTTAAATGACGTCTTAGGTTTCACTGGCAACAAAGTAATCTGTAAATCCTTTTAGGCTTCCAATTATAAGATCCTAGTTTGGTCAAGGTTATTTGCCTTCAGTCTGGCACAACTCCTGGACCAGACTAGATAGTGAATCGGGCCTCATTTTTCCACCCCTAGCACTCTCATTTCCCCCACTCCTGTCAGGTAACTTGCTGCGACTGTGCAGCAGCTTGGCCATCTTCTGAGAGTGCTTGGGAAAGCGAAGGACAATATTTAAGGGTTCCAATCACCGAGAAGCTAAGTACGAAAGTTTTCCTCGCCGTTGTTGACCCATGCTTGTTGCACAGATTGCAGACCTGCAGATGGACACCTTGTTCCTGGTTCACTGTTGCCCAGACCCTTCCACTGGGGGCCCCTATCCCTTGCTCCTCATATTCCTGATTTCTAGGACCCATAACCCTACTATAATTATAATCCCAGCATTAGCCTAGGTTCCTGGGTACAACCTTTGCCCTACTTATTGTATGGAATTTGCTAATACCTTTGCCATCCATTCCAACAACAGGCCTGGATAGCACCAAGCTGTCCTGTCCTGTCCTGCTGCTGAAAAAATTTTAAGTTAATAATCTTTGAAGTTTTGTCATAAAAGTGTTAAATAGTACTCTATACTACATCTGCCTTTTGAACTGTATGCAAAAGAAGTTATATTGACTATGTTATATTTTATAGAAATATGTAAATTGTTCTATTATAAAGACACATGCACACGTACGTTCATTGCAGCACTGTTTACAACAGCAAAGACCTGGAACCAACCCAAATGCCCATCGATGATACATTGGACAAGGAAAATGTGGCACATATACACCATGGAACACTATGCAGCTATAAAAAACTATGAGTTCGTGTCCTTTGTAGGTACATAGATGAATCTGGAAACCATCATTCTCAGCAAACTGACACAAGAACAGAAAATCAAACACCGCATGTTTTCACTCATAGGTATGTGAACAATGAGAACACATGGACATAGGGAGGGGAGCATCACACACTGGGGTCTGTGGTGGGGATAGGGGAGGGACAGTTGGGGGTGAGGATGTTGGGAGGGATAACATGAGGAGAAATGCCAGATATAGGTGATAGGGGGATAGAGGCAGCAAACCACATTGCCATGTATGTACCTATGCAACAATCCTGCATGATCTGCACGTGTACCCCAGAACCTAAAGTACAATGAAATAAATAATTAAATATGTGCACTTTTATCTGACACTTGATTGCTTACCCCTAAGGACATCATTTCTGTTGACCTACACTAGTACATCTATTTGCAGCAGTAGAAGCACTTTTGGAGAAAATCACCTGTCCCCTAAGAACTGGTCTTACAAATCTATGAAGTAACATTAAGTGCCATAACCTAATCACTCATAGATGACCAAAAGAACACCAAACAGGCATATTTCCAGCAGATAAAATGCCTAGCACTGCATGGTATTAGATATTCTCTCCTCTGTCTAATATTATACCATACACCATCCTCTGTTTTTCTAGTAGGGAAATCTCCTGCAATAATCCATTTGCCTCACTTCCCTAGAAAGGCTTGTTTCATTATTTGATGTTGTGTCTGTGTTAGTATGGTTCTGCCATGTGACCAGAAACTGAGCAATGTTCGCATGAGCATACCATGATATGGTAAACAGATGAAATGTCTGACAGCCAATTTGACATATATTTTTAATGATAAGTATTTATAAAGTTATTATTTCACTTCTTAATAATTAGGTGAGTTATGCATGTTAGAATAATTTGCATTTGTTTTATAGTTCTAAAACCTGATAATTCACAGAGTCATCACAGAATAAAGTAAGAATTAGGAAAACTGGAGGTTGCCCTGGGTTTCTTCAAAAATCCCCCACGCAATCGAGACAACTAAGCTTCTCTGTTTCAGAAGTGAGCACTCAGTGTTTCTATACCCTGCTCTATCTCTGTCCCCAGGCCACACACACAGAGGAGAAACCAGAACAGACACACTGGCTCTAGGTCACTCCTGGCATAGACAGAACAACCCACATAGCAGCAGTTTTCTGTCTTTTTAAAGGAATAAAGATTGGATGAAGCTGTCTCAACCCTTGGGCTCCTTGCAGGAAACTAGTGCAGAACAACAAATTATTTTTTCTCTCCTCGCCTAAGGTATAGTTTCTGTAAAAGAAAACAATCTACAGAGTACACTTAAGGGAAGGAAAGGCCCCTGGCTTGACTAGATTAAATCTGGAACGTTATAGATGTATTGGTACTATAAACAAACACCTTAGAGTGCAGGAGAACAATGTAGAGAAAAATTTGGAATCTTTTATTCATTTGAATCTGGTAGTTTTGAAACTGAGTTGGATCACCTACTGTGATTCAGATATATGTAGCATATCTGATAAGATGTTGGGGTATGTAACTACATACACAAGTTTTAAGGATTGATAGCGAAACTGGACTGGAAAAGAATGTGTTAATGTTACATACCCTACCCATTCACCCATCCCCACCTCCCTGGTGCTACGGATTCAAGCACCAGAAAAGAATAACTACAGGAAGGCACTGATGGAAACATTTTCATATATTACTCTATGCAATATCAAAGCATCAGCAGCCATTGGCTTGCAAGATGAGGAAATGTGATGCAGGCTCATGGAGCATCTCATCCTCTCCATTACCTCTCAGGTATTGCAACTTCTGGAGCACTGGTGAGTAGCTCCCATGGTGTGGACTTCATCGTTACCATAGAAGGCAGCAACAGCAGCAGGTGCAGCAGTAAGTTGCCCATAAGTAGCTGCACAGAGAGTAAACATCCACGAGAGAGTCTTGCGTTGTAGAGGATTTTAAGCACATGAACTATAAGACAAGGCATCCCTAGGACACAATAAGTGCTTTTTAGAGAGGTGCTGGAGGTCTTGTTTTACGCAACAGAGGGTGAAAGTCAGTGCAGTTGAAATCACTCCTGCCTAAGAATGCTTGGTAGCCATGGGCTAGTGAGACTTGGAGAAATGTATGTTGCACAACACTTTAAAATTTACTGAAGACCTACTCAGTGCCCATCACTAAAGCTGGATTATGTGGGAAGTATGCAATGTCTAAGGCACTGCCTGGACATTAACTGAATGAAGAAAGAAAAGAAAGAGAGAGAGAGAAAGAAGGAAGGAAGGGAGGGAGGGAGGGAGGGAAGGAAAGAGAGAGAGAGAGAGGAAGGAAGGAAGGAAGGAAGGAAGGAAGGAAGGAAGGAAGGAAGGAAGGAAGGAAGGAAGGAAGGAAGGAAAGGAAAGAAAGAAACATATTAAGTTGATAAAACACATTCCAAGGCCAGTGGTTCTCAAAGTGTGGCCCTGGGCCAGCTTCATCAGCTTCACCTAGGAATTTGTTAGAAATGAAAATCCTCAAAACCTACCCCAGACCTACAGAATTGGAAACTGGAGGACAGTCTCTGTGATCTGTGTTGAAACAACCCCTCCAGGTGACTGTCCTAGTGAGAAGCTCCAAAAAGAATGGGGCATTTCAGGAGGAAGATAGGAAGATGCCAAAAGAGGAAGGACAGAAAAGCAAAAGAATGGGAGAAGATTCAAAAAACATTTGCACTTTATCTAAGGTTGTTCTATTCCTTTTCCCGTCTTTATGAGAGTTCCATTTCCTTCCTGATATTTTATCCTTTGGATTGGAAAACACAGAATGTGTTAACATCACGTACCCTGCCCAGCCACCCACTCACCTACTCAACCCTATAGATTTAAACCCCTTCTCAAAGCAAGTTCACAGCATGTAGAAACTGGAAAAAGAAGGAATTTAAGAGAGACTACAGTTCACAGCCCATGGAATGAAAACCAGGAGTGCTCATGGCTGAGTGTGGAGGGACTGCCTAAGGAAAAATGCCAGAGAAAAATCAATCCTTGACAGGCCATCACCAGTTATGAATCCATAAAGACTCCTTTTATAGTAAAATCGCACAGCTTTCCAAAAGGCAGTCATCAGGTTCCCATGGTCATGTAACATGAAGCATAGCCAAAAATTATAAGCCTAAAAGTTTTTGGTTAGAAGCTTGGAATGGGTTCTGAAATAAAAAGATGAAAAGATACCAAGGAGTATAATACAGAGAAAAGAGTTGAATATTTTTATAAGAATGAACATGTCGTTCTCTAAATATAACACATTCCAATTATTTTTCCACAGGAAATGACCAGTGATTTGGTTAAGAATGCACATTATACTGCAGTACTTTGGGGAATGAAGCCACCCCTGACTGAGGTGACCATCAGTTCAGAGGCAATTCCTTGTTTTATTTTTGCACTAATTGCTTAGAGAAATAGCAAGACAATATAATTTATGACAATAAATCTGCATTTAACCAAGTTTAGGAATTTGTGAACAAAAAGATTAGTATCTCAGGTAGGTGTTTTTGGCAAGATATTTAATTTTTCTCAATTTCCTCATTGAAAAACTAAGACCATTATATCTAGTACACAGAACGGTTCTAATAATTAAATTGCATGTTATATGTAAAGCACTTAGCACAGTGCTTGATATACTGTAAGATGTAATTGCTCATGCATTATTTTCTCTTTTCTTGCAAGGAAGATACTAATGTCTAGGCACTCTCTAAAGAGACCTAAGACACTGTTGATAAAATTCACTGATCAACATATGATTTGGGGT